GTTGTCTTACGATCGAATACATGGACAATGGAAATACTTCGAGATTATATCAGAGAAAAATCATCACGCAATAACATCTGAGCTCCGTCTCAGATGGGCCAAGCAAGCAGCTGAAGGACTTCAAATCCTTCATTCTGTTGATGTTGTTCACTGTGATGTCTCGCCAAGAAACTTCTTGTTAGACTCTGGCCTTAATCTGAAGATCTCCGACTTTGCTGGTGCTTCTCTGTCCGGTTCAGAGCCGTCTGCATATTCAGCAACTCGATTTTCGACATCCAGATTGCAACTGGGATGTTACTCCCCGTTTTGAGGATGATATTTTCAGTCTCGGTTCATTGATCTATTTTATTATGACCAATAGCTACAAGGAGTTGCCGCTGGGAAATTTTGTTAGGCGCGTCCAGAAACCACGTGATTGGACCACGCTGTGACATGTTGCCGCTGGCCACGGATGGCTCAAGCCAAGTGTCAGATCATTTCCAGCCTCGAAAAGATCACACTCAAATATACATTCGAGTATAATTACTATGCTTGCAGCGCAATCCCTCAAATGATTTCAAGACGTGCTGTCGCATCCTGGAGCATCCCGCAGCTGTCCCTCACTTCTAACTTCACCTCCTTTTCAACACTGCCTCGGATGGATCAATTCCCGTATACCTCTACCATTGACGCTGAGCCTCTTCACCGCTATCAAAAAGGTGGCTACCACCCTATCACGTTGGGAAGTTTTTTGAATAACAAAAGATACAAGATACTGCACAAATTAGGGTGGGGAGGCTACTCAACAGTTTGGGCTGCAAGAGATTGCAGGTTGTTCAAATTGCAGTTGCTGAGCTCACTTCTAGTTAAATGAAACTAACTTATTCCTAGAGACGAGACCTATGTTGCTGTCAAGATCTCCGTTTCTGAAAGAGGGAATGATGAAGAGAATCGAGAACTCCATGTCATGAAGAAATTGGCATCTATACACCCCAGCCCTCGACACGTCGTACGCATGCTTGATGACTTCGATTTAGAGGGTCCGAACGGAACACATAAATGCCTCGTATTCGAGCTTCTAGGGCCTAGTATCCCTGACACAATTGATGCACACTTTCCCGATGGCAGGCTTCCTGGACAGCTCGCCAAGACTATTGCAAAACAGACTCTTTTTGGACTTGACGTTTTGCACTAGCAGAATATTGGACATGGAGGTGGGTCATGCTTATATCTTTGTCCTTTGGAATTAATGTCTAATAGTTATCACCTAATATAGACATCCATACTCGCAATCTAGCTTTTACGATACCTTGTATGAACAATATATCTGAGGGGGAATTTATTGAGATCCTAGGGAAACCAGAAATTGGGCATGTCCGAAGGAGCGACGGAAAAGCTCTGGAGCCTGGCATACCAGAGTACATTGTCAGGCCTGCCTCATACTGGACACATTCTTGGCCGTCGTCGAATTCAATCAAGATTGTTGACTTTGGTGAATCCTTTTTGCACACAACTATTCCTCAAACTCTTCACACACCACTACCAGTCAGGGCACCTGAAGTTATATTTGGAGACCGGTTGGATTATCGTGTGGATTTATGGAGCATGGGCTGTATGGTGAGTAAGATTGCCAGAAGCTAAAAGTTATTTAAAACAATACTGACAGGCTTGTTAGCTCTTTGAGCTTTTCGTCGGTCAGCCGCCCTTCGACAGCTTCTTGATAACACCCACGATCCTCGTCGGTCAAATGCGAGAGATGGCAACTGATGCTCTACCTGAGAGATGGCAAGACTTATGGAAGACGATGGATGACAAAGCTGCCGCCGAAATCTCAGGACCCGCATTGCAAGAGTGGCTAGAAGACATGTATTTTGATGGTGAGCGGAACGAAGACTTGACAAAGGGAGATATAGCTAAGCTGGGGCAAATTATTGGAAAATTGCTGCGGTTTGAGCCGTCCACCAGGGCGTCAGCGAGGGAAATTCTGAACGACCCTTGGTTTAATTGTAACTCATAAGTCATTTATCACTATTCACAGCTAATACCTCTAGCAATGCACAAATAGAGTTTTATACCCGAAATTCATTAACCTGCTTTCAATTTTTCCCAGCGAATACCAAGTGTTCGCTCCTTTTCTTTTCTTTTCGTTTCTTTTGTGGGCACCTTAATTTTTGCCCTCTTTCAATTTCCTTGTTTCTTTTACTCTATTTCTGCCCTTTTTCGGTCTCTCTTCATTTCAACCCCCGGCCTTTTTTTAGGAGTCTCGTATGACCCTCGTCTAAACAAGACTGCCCTCTAGAACAGCCTATCAGCGTACGGCCGCCTTCAGAACAGGCAATACAAGGACTAGATGAAAAAGCGCTTTCGCGAACACCAAGTTCCGATATCCAATCCAGGTACGACTAGAGAAACCCCTTTATTCTCTCAACTAGCCAATCTTAAGACAGGGTCCGGGGGATTTGGGGGGGGGGGGATTTGGCACAAGATGAAAATAAATATGGCTACGTACCCCTCAAGGTGATTTTAATAGGATAACTATTTTGAACTGTTGTCAAGCTCGGAACTAAAATTTCGTACATGCAGCTACATTGGTGAAACGCGGCTCTATGTATGCAGACCTTACACGGTCTTCTAGTGATGCTAATATGTTGCCTCTAGTGTTATTGCTCACCACTCTGCCCTGCGCTTTACATGAGTAGTGTGGAAGCAGATCGGGAATGTACCGCACTGGGGCTACCAATAAAAGGGAATAGGTGATAGCTGCTGGCTTGTACGGCAGGATATGCGCATAACTTGCTTCTTCTCCTCTTCTCAATCACGAAAATTGTCTTGTCCGCCGCGGGGTATGCGTTCGATGAGTTGGAGTTCGAGGCAAATTACTCCGCAGCCATTGATATTAAGCCCTGCATTCAGGTCCTGTCGCTTCCACATTTATCCGACCACTATGATGTCTCGCACGATTGGATGAAATGTCGTTGGTGGGTCGTTTGTTCTCGAATGGGATAGCCATCCCGCAGGATTCAGAGTTGGGGATTCGTGGCACGTGCCAAAGCTAGAATGTGATTGATTGATTGGTTCATTCTTGCCGACCTCCGGCACTCCCAACAAGTACCCGTGCCCAGGGGGTCTAAACCCAAAATGGTTTAGCCTCCTCACAGAAGCCAAAATTTCTATATTATAAAAAATCGATTGCAAATATCAACACCACAACAATAAAAATTTATTGATTCTCAATACGAGAAGCCTTCGATCTATCTATAAGAACCTTTCTGTGTTTTTGCAATCAATCGCAAGCCGTTTTGCTAACTTTTTGCGTCTTCGAAGATCCTGCTCTTGAGCCTGCTCTAACGCCTCTTGTCGCTTTTTGAACCTCATCCTCATCGCGTTTCTTATAAATCCGACGCGCTTGATGGGCATATAAGACGCCTCCCGACTGACAAACCATGCGGAGTACATTTTGACGCTCTCGTCGTGCTTGTTCAACTGCTTTAGTGTTGTTTAGATCTTCCTCAAGTTGCTTTGCAAGATGCGCTGTCGCGATTGCACCTTTTACAAGGCGTTCAACCAGGCGATGGAATATAGCATAGTCAGGCAACAAATATAAGATTTGAGTGCCAATTTTCTGTATTTTGCGAGCCGATTGAGGCGTTGAGATGCTTGGGGATGATTCGTTATTATCAAGGGTCTCTGGCCGCTGCTCAAATTGGCGGAGTTTTTTGTAAAATAACCTCTGGTTGATATGGAACTAATCCGGTCTCACGAATGGCCTCGCGGATGATGTTTCCACGGAACGTTTTCTCACGTATAGATGACAAGGCACAGAGAAAATCAAGCAGTGCAGACTCCCTACATCCTGTACATACGAACGTGGTTCTGTACATTCTATTGACTTTCTTCAGTCTTTGACAGAGTATAGACCTTCGCCTTGCTCGGTCCGTTTAGTGTCGATCCTTCAATTTCGTACACCAATATACTTGGATAGACCCTTGGGTCCTCCCTGGAAATTGTTCCGCAAAGCCCTTTGCAACCTCGGACCATGGTAGCTTCTGTTCCTTCCTTAACTTCACCAGAAGATCGACCTCCTCGGATGTCCATTGTCTGTGTTTCCTGAGGTTGAGCGGAGGCTCATCGTTGGCATTGAGAGTCGGTGCGGTCCCATAGGGCCGTGTTCGAGGAGATACTGACTG